CCGCTGCAAGGCTGCTGGTTTTTAAGGGTGAGTCAGGTTACTATAACACAGACCTTTCTGTTGTTATTGAGATTTAGCAGTTTATCTCGATAAATGTTCCTTAGATTTTTACAACCTTTTAGTGAATTTAGAGTCTTTTCTAAAAATTCAATTTGACAATTTTTGCCAGGGTATTAGTTGGTTTATTGGAGTGGCCACTTTACAATGATATTCTCTCTATTATTCCAAAGTCCAGCTTCATTGTTGTTGTTGTTAGGTGCTGTTAGGTGTTGTCATCTCCAACTCACAGCGACCTCATGCATAATAGAACAAAACAGTGCATGGTCCTGTGCCCACCTCATGATCCTTGCTGTACCTGAGCCCATCATTGCAGTCACTGTACCCACCCATCTTGTTGAGGGCCTTCCCCTGGTTTTGTTGTCCCTCCACTTTACCAAGCATGATATCCCTCTCCAGTGAATGGTTCCTTCTGATGACATTACCAAAGTAGGTGAGAAGATGTCTGGCCATTCTCACTTCCAAGGAGCATTCTGGCTGCATTTCTTCCATGACAGATTTATTAGTTCTTTCAGCAGATCATGGTACTCCCAGTATTCTTTGCCAACACCACAACTCAAAAGCATCAACTCTTCTTCATCTTCCTTATTCAATGTCCAGGTCTCACATGCATATGAAGTGACTGAAGATACCATGGCTTGGGTTAAGGGCACCTTAGTCTTCAAGGGGATATCTTTGCTCTTCAGCACTTGAAAGAAGTCTTTTGCAGCAGATTTGCCCAATGTAATATGTCATCTGATGTCTTGACTGGTGCTTCCATTGGTGTTGACTGTAGAACCAAGTAATATGAATATTGACAACTTCAATCTTTTCTCCATTTATCAAGATGTTGCTTATTGGTCCAGTTGTGAGGATTTTTGTTTTCTTTATATTGAGGTATAATCCACACTGCAGACTATAGTCTTTAATCTTCATCAGTAAGTGCTTCAAGTCATCATCACTTTCAGCAAGACAAAGTTGTGTCATCTGCGTATCGCAGGTTGTTAAAAGAGTCTTCCTCCAAACCTGATGCCTTGTTCTTCTTCATATAATCCAGATTCTTGGATTATTTGCTCAGCATACAAATTGAATAAGTATGGTAAAAGGATACAACCCAGGCACACTCCCTTCCTGATTTTAAACCATCAGTATTTCCTTGTTCTGTTCAAATGATAGCCTCCTGGTCTATGCACAGGTTCATGAGTACAATTAAATGTTCTAGAATTCCCATTCTTCTCAACGTTATGCATAATTTGTTGTGATCCACACAATTGAATGCTTTTGCATAGTCAATAGCACATAAGTAAACATCTTTCTAGTATTCTTTGCTTTCAGCCAAGATCCATCTGACGTCAGCAATGATATCCCTCATTCTACCTCCTCTTCTGAATCTAGCTTGCATTTCTGGAAGTTCTCTGTCAATACACTGCTGCAACCATTTTTGAATGATCTTCAGTAAGATTTTACTTACATGTGGTATTAATGATATTGTTTGATAATTTCCACATTCCATTTCACATTCCAGTTTCATTACCAATGATTTTATAAGCAACACCATGTTTGAATTTTCAAAGGAAACACTGGACATCCTAAATATCCTCCACTATTATGCAGCAATAATTTCTAGGAAAGAATGCCCTTGCCACTTTCTCATGAAATAGCAGAGAGGTGAGATTTTATTCTTCCATAGGCTTCCCTCCTCTCCCAGTGTAGTAGCAGAAGTAGAAAATTTCACCAATAGATAGGCAAGGCCAAGAAGGATACCAATTGTGGTAAATGCCCATACATAAGGGATGCTAAATAGTAAGACTCTTATATCCCTGTGACTTCTAACATAACTATGAAACGACTAGAGAAAAGAAGGTTTGTAGATATTCATATAAACTCATATAAAAAAAAACTATTTTTTGAACTCCTATTACATGTTAGATTCTATGCTAGACCTGAATAGGATGGCCACAGTCCCCTTCATCTTAGACTATACAATGACATGAGGCTATAGAGAAATGAAGACTATAGTATATTAAGTGTTTAAAGAAGATGCATAAGGGAGTTTTGTATATATGCAAGGAGGAATATCCAACTTATCTTTCTAGAAGAGCTTATGTTCTTAACAACTGAAGGATGACTGTGAAAGGAAAAGAGAAAGAGGGAAAGGAAGAGTCTTCCAGGAAAAAGTATTAACATATGGTTGGTCTAGTAGTAGGAGGATGTTTAGCCAGATTGAACATGATAAAGAGCACTGGTAATAGAAAAGGACAGACTGGTAAACCAGGTCTTTTGGGTAAAGCAGAATCATTAATCAATCACATAAAGTTGGTAAAGAGTGTTAGCCATGGGATTCCACAGTGAATTAATTTTCATATTGACTGCAATGCTCTTATGCAGCTAGACATAGAACAGAAAGAGTGATAAGTCAGTTTGGGCAGCATAGCATTGGTAAAAAATTTCACAGCAATTCATCCAGAATGGATAAGTTTTCTTAGAAAATAAATTAAAAGAAAAAGAGAAGAGAAAGCAGAAAGCAATGCTTGGATATGAGCACATGTCCATAGTAAGAAGGGTTACTGAACACTGTAGGCTGACTTCTCAGCATCCACGGTATGCCTTCCTCATTCCTGACAAAACCCTGATTTTTGTGTGGGCACCCATCCTTCCCCAGATAGTCCACATAATTTAGAAGAAGTGTACCCTTTCACAGATCCAGAAGTTGGTCTGTTGATTTAAGGATAATCTCATAGCTCCTTGGCAATGGTTAATCTAGAATGGAAATAAGACTTCATTTGGGTCATTGAGCCTGAAGGACAGATTTTGTTCTTTAGTTGAAAGAGAGGTATGCTCTTCTTTCTTCCTGCTGGGGACCCTTGTTGTTCTAATGGCTGGCAATTTTACAGTAAACTAGCAAAAGGACAAAGCTGATCAGAAATGAATGGCAGAACCAAGTAAATCATCCTCCTGATCACACTATGTCTGAAATCTACTCTACTTCTAGGCTTCCAGTTATGTGCATCAATTAAGTTCCTTGTTGTTTAAGCCAGGTTTGAACTGCATTTTTATTATTTGACCTTAAAAGCATCCTAAATGCTACAGTAGGAGAAGAAACCTCACAAAATGACCCAGAAAAAAGTTTAGATGGCAGAGGAGAATTAGAAGAGCTCAATATCATACAATCTCTACAAAGGAAAGAATCACTGACAGGGTTACGTGCAGTGGACTTATCAAGGAAGATAAGTTATTCCTGCACTATTTCTGCTTTAGATATGGAATCTTTTTAAGTCATTGTTACCACACCACGATTTTTTTGATGTATAAAATATTCCAAGGCTAACTGAAGGTAAACTACTGTGCAACTACATTATGATCATTATGAACTGTGCTTTTATAATTAAATGCAGCATAAACAAGGTCAAGTAAGACCTATTTAATGTAAGTACATTAAAACCACATTGAAACAACTCCTTTCTCCATGAAGTATTATAAGTTTTAGGGGTATATTATATTTTATATGTTCTTTAACCAAAAAAATATGAAGAATTTTAAACATATATCCAAAGGAAAACAGTATAATAAACCTCCATACACCCATAATTCTGATTCTAGAATTATCAATACTTTGTCACTCTTACTTTTCCTTCCTTTCCTCCCTCAGATGTAAAACAATTTATTTGAAAATCAGAATGTATTTTCCTATATAAACAATGTATAAAAGGCAGCCACATTCTCAAGCTAGACTACTGAAGCTGATATAATTTGTAACATAGGTGACATCTTTAACATTTTGAACAAAAAATGGTATTATTGAAACTATCAGTTAATTTACTTCTCATTTTATTAATGTGTTGAAGGGGCTTACTTAGATCACCCTCTAGCATAACCCCTACAAAACAGACCATCTTACAATTTGAATTTAATTTAGCAATCTAAAGAATTCCATTTAAAAAAAAAAAAAGAATTCCATTTTTTTAAGTTGTTAAAATTACCTAGTTTCTGCTTACTATATATCTGCCATAACATTTTCAAAAACATTAATTTTATTTTTTTTTCATAGCCTCACCATCAGTGGTTCTCACAGAGCAGTTCAGGGACATTTGGGGGTTCCCTAGACCCTTTCAGGGAGTTTACAAGATCAAAACTATTTTTGTAATAATACTAAGAAGTGATTTGCCCTTTTCACTCTTATTATCACAAAAGCACACAGTGGTGTTTTCCAGAGGCTACATGATGTTTGGTAACATCACCATTCTCATGGGTAACTGTATATGTGAAGGAGGTACTAACCAACTGTCTTTTTTTGCAGGTGTAAAGGAAAGAGATTTGCAAAATTATAGAACAATTCCAATCCTGTCAATGCATTTTTAAAATTTTGAAAATATACACTTAAAAATAGTTATTTATATCACCTATACTATATACTCACTGCCATAGAGTTATTTCTGACTCACAGCAACCCCCATTGGGTTTCTGAAGCTATAAATCTTTATGGAAGTAGATTGCCCTGTCTTTCTTCTACAGAGCAGCTGGTGGGTTCAAACTGCTGACCTTCCATTTAGCAGTCAAATGCCTTATCCACTACACCACAGGCCTCCTTATTTATATTAACATATTGGTTCTTTTTTTCTTAAGAATTCATAAATACTGTAATTTTTTTCTCTTTTCATTTCTAATACAATAAATATTGATAGATATAACCTACATGAACAATGTTCCTTGGGGGTCCTCAATATTTTTTAGTATGTAAAAGGGTCTTCAGGCTAAAAAGACTGAAGACTGCTATTCTAGATAAATTCCCTTCTTCTCTATTTAAAATAAACTTTCGCCTAATGGGATGAAAAGATTCTTTTCCAAATCTCTTTTGCAAATTTCACTGGAAAGAAAACTTATACCCCTGACATTCCTTACCACAGTAAACATTTTTTGATAATAAGTAGGAAATAGACAAAGACATAGTGAGGCTGGCATCTTACCTTCACCAATTCTGTGTAGCCTGTTTCCTTTGTGGTCCACCATGGCAGAGCTTTGAGTCCTTTCACATTGTAGAGGGATCGTTGCCAAACAGATGCAAAATGTCCTCTCTTGTGCCCAAGCTCATACCACTTATATGCCTGAAGGAACAAAGAGGTTGAGCTCCAAACTATTCTGTAAATTCAGCCCTTTTATTAATTTTAAAATTAAAAACACTAATAATAAGGTGTTACTTTGAGGCTTTTAAATAAAGAGCTTGCCAGTTAGGTGCCCAAGACTATTTCAATGGTGCAAATACTGTTATTTCATTAGGTTCTGGTTATGATCTATTCTTATAAATACATACATGGATTATAATTTCACTCCAAGGCTGTAATCTCTCTGAATACAGGATTTAGGACTCATTAATTTGATTTTCCTCAGAGTGTCTAGCACAATGTTTAAGATACATTTATAGAATGGATAAATAATTTAAGACACCAAAAGGAAATATATTTGTATTTTAGCTTTCATCTCTTAAGTTCTATCTTTATATTTTCTTTAACAAGAAAGGATAATAATTTTAATAATTTCTTCAAAGATATTTGCATTAACTGAATTGAAACGCTAACATGGAGAGCAATTTCTTTTGGCATGTGCATTAATTCCATGCCTGTATTTTAGAAGGCAACTCCAAGGTGATAGAGTGTAAGTCATTTAGAAAATTAAGTAGGGAGAAAGAAATATTATTCTGAGTTGGCAATATATATAGTGATAGCCTATATTAGAGTTTTTTAAAGGAAAAATTTTGTTCAAAATATTTTCTTTTGCCATAAGGGATAACATTTGTGGCTTCAGGCTAGCTGTAACATGATACAGCTTATGTCCAAGATGACTAGCCTTTTCAAGGACAGCTGGCTGCAGAGTATGCTGCCCCATATGTCTGCTTCCAATGATGCCTTGACCATATGCTCTCAGATTCGCCCTCCCACATGTTTCCTGCACCTTGCTGAATCCATTGTCTACAGAACTAAAAGCGTTTCTAGTGGTTCACTTATTAGTATCGCCTCCATTATGACAAGTCTGGTCTAATTAGTATTTTAGCAGGATACCTTCTAATACATATTCTGATCAGTGAAAATAAGTATTTTATTTCAAGTTGAATACTAATCTTATAAAACTACACACACACACACACTTATACATATATATAATTTATATCATTTTTTCAAAGTCTTTGAAAGTTCCTATCTCAAAATTTTCTTCAACAGAAAAATGAAATGGGATAACAACACTAGTTGCTTTCACATACATAATCTCATTTGATTTTTCAATAATCCCAAATATCTCTATTTTATAAATGATGAAATTTAGGTTCAGAAAGGCTGAGTGTGCTCAGATAGAACCCAGGGTCCAGGAAACTTGTTCTACTCTCCGTCTATATTTGTATCATTAAGAGAGAGAGAGAGAGAGAATATTTTCTCATTTAATCTTCTTTCTCAAGGATATCCCAAATTAATAATGTATATACCAATATAAGTTTTCCTTGAAATACATGTACATCTTAGCTATACCAGAAAATGGAAGTGACTAATTACTGTCTGACTTTTTAAAAAGTTAGCATTTTATTTTTGAAACATATTTGACTACCTTTGTTATTTTTGTGCAACTTAAGTTTAGGATTTTATTTTGTATATCATATGTTGTTAAGGTCAATAACAGTATTAATGACAACAGATGTATCTTTGAAAATATGACAATTCCTTAATTTCTGAATCACCAGAAATTCATTTTAAGGACTAGAATTATTCTTAGGATCGAGAGAAAAAAAAATAGGAAAACAGACAAACTTACAGTTCTAGTTCAGGAGTTAAGAGTCTTACATTTTAACATTCACCATGTTCAATGTCTGAGCAAGTCACATACAATGGCATGTCTGACCCATCTATAAGGTCTTTCCTCAGACTCAAAGTAAATACTATCACATTAAATAGGATCCTTAGTCCTGTACCCTTCTGCCATTTAACTTTTAGGAGAAAGAAAACATTGACAAGTGGCATATCAGAAATCTGTAAAATTCGTATGTAACGGTATAGATGAGGATTGAATTAATCCACTGATTAATTATTTTATTCTTTTTAAACCTAAACCATTTTACAATAAAAATTGCTAGGAAATCATTGATTAAGTTAGACTTCTCTGAAAAATTCCTCTTTACTATTTCCTTTTTATATCCATAATCAAGAATACTAACATAGATAGTAAGCACACTGGGGTACCTTCTTAAGTTTGTTTTATATCAATGTCTTCTACACTTTCTTTAAATTATTGCCATCCATGGGGCAGATCCTTATGGTTATCCTTGAGGTAGAAGGTAACAAAGGCTGGAATTAAAACACCCATGAGACAGAGGCAAAAAATACAAGGAAGCTGAATCCCCAGAATGTGGTTCAGATTAGACTGGGGCAAGGAAGTATCATTCTCAGAAGAGGGAAGAGCTAAACGTGATCCTAATTTTGGTAATGAGAAGTTGACAATATCATCAGATGAGAGAGGGAACCCAGGAAGAATGGTTGGAGAGGAAGATAACAGTGAATTGTCTCTGTGAACTCCTTGTGTTGACACCAAGCAGGCAGTAGGATATATGAGTCTTTACACTGGGAGGAAGACCACTGGACTTAGGAGGTAATGGAAATAATTGGGCACAGCTGAAATGGAACTGCTATAAGACTCTCATAGTTGTCTTCCTCCCTCCTCCTGTCCATACTAAACATTACTAGAAAAATTTCACTTGAAAATCATCTTTTGTTAATTATTATTTTTTTAAATTACAGTTTGAGTGAAAGTTTACAGAGAAAATCAGTTTTCCACTCAATAACTGATACACATTTTGTTTCATGACACTGGTTGCAATCTCCTCAGTGTAACAGCACTCTTCTCCCTTCCTCCCTAGGTTTGCAGTTTTCCTTCATTCTTCCTTCCCTCTCCTTCCTCTTTCTGAGCTGTGTTTTTGGGCAAAAGCTGCCCTTTTGGTCTCATATGACTGAGTGTATTGAGGAAGACATTCTTCTCTGTTATCATTCACTTTATAGATCTGTTTATTGTTTAGCTGAAAGTTGATCTCGTAGGGCAGAGTATATATAGTTTTAGGCTTGAAGGGTGTCTAGGGGCCACAGTTTTAAGGGTTCTACTAATGTCTATCAGACAAGTAAGTCTTGTCTTTTTTTATGTTTTTGAATTTTGTTCTACGTTTTTTCCTCTCCTTCTCTGTTCAGGACTTTCAATTGAGATCCAGATCAGAATGGTCAGTAGTGGTAGCCAGTCACCATCTAGTTCTAAGGGAGGCTATGGTTTGTGTGGACCATCAGTTCTTTGGCCTAATTACCAAAAACAGTATTATTGCCAACCTCTGAACACAGAGGCATTTTCTTTTCATGCATCGATGCCCTTTTGGAGCTAAAGCAGAGCATCACAGCAAGATATATGGTCATTTCTCACTACATGCAAACTCAGGACATGACAGTTAATTCAGTTTAACACATGATACTATGAATAAACTAAAATGGGGATTCTATAGACTACGTTTTTTTTCCTCCTGTAAGGATGAATCCTTGGAATATCTTTAATTCATGAGCAGTGCTTTTTTTTTTTTTTGCATATTAATGACAATTAAACTTGTAGAATAGTCCCATAGGTTTAAGTCACAAGTCTTCAACAAGTGTTTAGTAGCAAATTCTTTGCCCTTGAAGTAAGAGCTGCTTTCATTTAAGATGTGAGATAAATCGTAGACTTCTTTTATCTGCCTTTGCCCTAGACTCCAAAATTTTCAAAGATAAATTAATTAATGACAGTTACATTTATACTCTTCAGACATGAGCATTTACCTAATGTTAGATACTGTAGCTAAATCATTCTTATCTCACTCCTTCAAAGCACTTACAGGTCATTTACACCTAACAGAAAGAAGGGATGCAAAAATGATCCCTAATCAGCAATTCCCTCTTTCTTCTTTCTCTTCACACTTAAATGTCTCATGCTATTTCAGATGACTGACTCATAGGTTAGAGGTGAAAAGATAAATAGAAACAAATAAAGAAAATAGTGTCAAGTATCCAAACCACTAATGCTCCAAATTGGTTTATGTTTCTAATTGGCAATAAATTTGTCTCCTGAATCTTTATTTGTCCAAATGGTTCCACATTCTTATTAATTTTAGAAACCTGTAACTGTGCTACCCTTAAAATCACTTATTATGTGTATGGCATGTAATGATTATAAAAATTCAGTGATTACTTCTCCCTTTTATCCACTGATACTAAGGATAGGCCAGCCTAAGATGCACTGCAGGGGTGTAGGACAGGAAAAGGGGGCATTGTCACCTAGCAGAGTTGTGTAAGTAACAGTGGCTCATGAAAAATTTTGGACATCTATAGTATAGTGATTGAATGTTATGTTTAAAGAAGCTGGTGTTGTACTGAAAAAAAAAAAAGCAATTCCCACAAAGAAAACATACAACCAGTTTCATCTATTACATTTTTTGCATGAGTACCTGTCAAATTACTATCATTACATGTGTTCATCTTTGAACATGGTATTAAATATTTCAGAAGGCAAATTATGCAGTTAACCATTAGGCTCAATATACATAGCAATCAACTGAATGAATAATGCATTCTAATGATAAACACTTTTAAATTTAAAAAATAGCATGAGTCTAGGTAAATTCTTAAAATATTTTTAATATTTCTATTTTATAATTTCAGAAATACTTCTTTAAAGCAAAATCTCCATACAAGAATACAAACATAAATAGACAGTCATACATACATACACACACTGATTTCAAGGCTGTCCTTGTAATTAGTCAGCTACATTCTTGAAAGAAAATATAAAGTCAAATCCAAAAAATTATTTATTGGATTACAAAGGAATTGTTGGGCTGTGTTGAAAATAGTTTAACTATAGTAGTTCAAATAGTTAAATAATTTAAATCATCACTTTCAAATGTTTATGTTTAAAATATTTTTCAATTGTATCTCTTTTTTTTTTTAAGTTTTTACTGTGATTTGGGTGAAAGTGTGCAGAACAAACTCATTTTCCATACAGCAGTTCATACACATTTTGTCTCACGACACTGACTGCAATTCCCCACAATGTAATAGCTCTCTTCCCACTTCCTCCCTGTAGTTACCTCTTCCCTGTTTCCTTCCCTCCTGTGCACTCCCACCCTCTGAACTGTCTCCCTATGTAAACACTGCCCTTCTCTTCTCCCATTACTGATCCTCCAAGTAGCATATCTACCTGATGTAAATGTTCAGCCCACATGTCTGTCTATTAGTTGGCTGGAAGTCACAGGAGTGAGTTCAATTCCAGACCTGAAGGGTAGTCCCAGGGGTCTTACCAGGCTCTATCAGACCAGCAAACTTGGTCTTTTTTTATGATTTTGAGTTTTGTACCACATTGTTCTCCCACCTTATCCAGGATCTCCTGCACCAATCCCCCTCTGAGTGATTAACAGCAGTATTTGGGCACCATCTAGTTCGTCTGGTCTCATGGTCATACAGGCTGAGGACTGCATGGTCTACTAGTCCCTTGCACTAATTGTTTCCATGCGTCTTTGGTATTCTTCATTCTTCTTTGTTCTGGATGAGGAGAGACTCATCATTGCATCTAGATGGCTGCTTGCAAGCTTTTAAAATCCCAGTTGCTACTCACCAAAGTAGGATGTGGAACAATGTTTTTGTGTAGTACTTTATGCCAATTGAGGTTGATGTCCCCTGCAACAATGGTCCCAAGCCCACAGCTCCAACTACTCATTCCCTCTGGGTAGTTGGCAGTGGCCAAGAAGTCACCACAACCTTGTCCCTTGTCCATTTTACTATATACATGGATATTCTTCTAACACATACAAATACACTTGTAGAAACATCGTCTGTCAACCCTATACATGGTCATGGGCACACTAGCCCTGCAATTGTATCTTTATCCTAGAAATACATTTTTTCCTGTTCTATCCTCTGTTAGAAAGAATAAGAAGTTCAGAAACCAATTACCTCTTTATCCCCAACCCTCTGCATGGCATCTCCTAAGTGGAAATAAAATCGCCCATCATCAGTGCCAGGATCACCAGATTCTATCCCTTCCTGTAGGAGAGTTTAAAAAGAAAAGCAATAAAAAGCAAAGGGTAGTGTGAGGATTTGGGAAATAATTAAATACTAGATTTAATGCATTGACTTATTTAATTTTCATATGGTATAGGAAAATCTGAGGACTACGAAAACATATCTCAACATTGTAGTATGATAATGGTCAACATTTCCAATGAAAAACCAAAGAAGGTCATAAGGCTAAACTAACTCACCAATGTATTTACAATTCATTACTAGTGGAATAGACCATAAAGGTCACATGATATTTTATGAATCTTCTGTGTAGAAACAATCATATTTCAATATTCTAAAGAATTATCTGGCCATGTATCTAGCACATTTGTCTTATTCTCCAAATTTGACCATATGCCAACTAGAGGATTTTATTTCTGAATCAAAATGTTTAATTGCCTATAAGATGTTGAAGTGATAGAAGCCCAGTTGCAAGTCATATTTCTTTCAACTCAAACATGTCCTGTCCTTTTAGTAAAATCTTTAACAAAGCATACAATAGGATTAACCCAACCTGAATCTTTAAAAATATAATTCTTATTAAATAAATGAATCCAAAAGCATTTGACTATTTTTTGCTAACATTTAAATTAAAAGAGAGAGAGAGAGAGAAAGAGAAAAATAAAATGTTGAAACAAGAACGAATTTAACAAAGCTAAATGAGGACAAAAGATAAAAGTACTTAAATATCTAGGAATTCTTTCTGAAAATACACATCTTTGAGGCTTTATCACAAGAAGCCTATTATTTTTGCTAAGACATTTTATTTTAATAACATTGGAAGGGAGCTTGTGGGAATGACAGAAGCATCACTCAGGATTGGAGGAGAGCTATGTTTGGATTCTTCACTGACACTCAAAGTCCTCCCCTGTTAATGAACTAACACTGCTCTCAGTATCCCCATCTCTGAAGTAGGAAGAGGACTATTAGACTCTCATATGTCAATAGAAATTTAAGTCAAACAGTTGAAATCAGAGAAACCCACATGCTATAGGGTCCTGGCAGGTAAAGAAAGGTTGGCCATAGCCCAGTGGCAGCCAGGACAGATTAAATGTTGCATACCCACCTCATGGGCATGCCACTGCTCAGCTCCATATGTGAGCATGTGGGCCAGGTACGATGTTTCCAGAGAAACCAGAAATCTGCATTTTTATATAAAATGTCCAGATTCTGAAATAAGGCAAGTAATTAAGTGATTTTAAAAACTGCTGGCCAAATAAAACATTCAGGATAGTATCTGGCCAGCACAGTGGTTACTATTTGGGATCTCTGATTCAAGTCATGTGAAAGAGATCATAAAAGTTTAGTATGCTGCTCCTTTAAAAAAACAAAAAAGTTCATAGCCAGTCAAGAAGCAACCCATGTTTTCCTAAAATTATAGCCACATGTTTTTATTAAAATTAAAAAAAGAAAATTCAGTTCCTCAGTCATACTAGTCACATTTCAGATGCTTGATGACTACATAAGGCTAGTGGCTATCTTACTGGATTGTGAATATAATGTCCATCATCACAGGAAATCCTACTGGATAGACCTTAGTTAGATCAAATTTGACCTGATTGTCAAGTGCTCAATTAGATATATGAGAAAAAAGTAAAAGCATATTTTAATCTGAACATTTTGAACTATGAGGCTTTTCTGGGTTTGAACTGTGCATCTGCATTTGTTTTATCTCATTTTACATGGGTAGCCATGATCCCTGTTTAAAGTATATTCAAGTCCTAAGTCATTTGTAAAGGGAACATCAAATACACTGTCCAAATTTTAACTATTGTATCAATAATTCTTCACTCTCTTTGTCATTAAGTAAGAGAAAAAATAAAAAACTACTGCCATGTTAAGAATTTCTTCATAGACTCTTCCAAACAGTGTCTGCTCACATGGTTGGTATTTGTGCACATTACTCTCTCCATTGTGGAGTGGGGTCCCTACTGTATATAGATATCATGGTCAGAAGGTGTCCACATTCATGATGCAAAGAAACAGCAGTGCATGTCAATCAGTCCATAATGCAAGGGAGTCCTGGTCAGTCAGAGAAAGAGTTGTTCTTAGGTACTATCGAGCTGGTTTCCACTGATAATGACCTCATGTACAACAGAACAAAACACTGCCCAGTCCTGAGCCATTCACACAATTGCTGCTATGGTTGAGCCCATTGTCGTGGTCATTGTGCCAATCCATCTTGTTGAGGGTCTTCCTCTTTTAAACTAACAATTTACTTTACCAACCATGATGTCCTTCTCCAGGGAGTGGTACTTCCTGTTAACATGTCAAAAGTATAAGAGGCAACATCTCACCATCCTCCCTTCTAAGGAGCATTCCAGCTGTACTTCCTCCAAGATTTGTTAGTTCTTCTAGCACTGCATGATACATTCAATAATCTTCACCAACATCACAATTCAAATGCATTCATTCTTCTGCAGTCTTCTTTAATCATTGTCCAGCTTTCACATGCATATAAGCCTATTGAGAAGACCATGGTTTGTGTCAGGCACACCTTAGTCTACAATGTCACATCTTTGTTCTTTAACACTTTAAAAAGTTCTTTTGTAGCAAATGTGCCCAATGAAATATATTGTTTGATTTCTTGACTGCTGCTTCAATGGGCATGGATTGGGGATCCAAGTAAAATGAAATTCTTGATGAGTTCAACATTTGCCTCATGATGTTGGGAGCTCTGATAGCATAGTGTCTAAGGCACTTGACTGCTAACCAGAAGGCTGGCAGTTCAAACCCACTAGCCACTCCTTGGGAGGAAGATGGGGCAATCTACCTCCATAGTGACACTGCCTCAGACACCCAAGGAGGGGACACTATGAGTCGGGTCCGACTCGATGGCCCATAACAACAACAACAACATCATGATGTTGCTTACTGGTCCAGTTGTGAGGATTTGTTTTCTTTATATTGAGGTGTAATCTGTACTGAAGGCTGTAGTTCTTTGATTTTCATCAGAAAGTGAAAGTTTCATCAGAAACTTTAAGCAAGGAAGGTCATCTGTGTCATCTGCATATCACAGATTGTTAGTGAGTCTTCCTCCAATCCTGATGTCACGTTCTTCTTCATACAGTACAGCTTCTTAGATTATTTGCTCAGCATACAGAATGAATAAGTATGGTGAAAGGATACAGCCCTGACACACATCTTTCCTGATTTAAAACCATTCAGTATCCCCCTCATTCTGTTCGAATGACTTCTTCGTGGTCTATGTATAGGTTCTTCATGAACACAATTAAATGTTCTGGAATTCCCATTCTTTGCAATGTCATCCAATATTTGTTATGATCCACACAGTCAAATGCCTTCGCACAATCAATGAAACACAGTTAAACATATTTCTGGTATTCTCTCCTTTTAGCCAAGATCCATCTGACATCAGCAGTGATATCCCTTGGGTTTTGGATACCTAGTGCCACTATGACAGGAATGGGATGGCCTTAACAAACAGGAATTTATTCTCTTACAGTTTGGAGGCTTTAAGTCCATATTGAAAGTGCCAGGCTCTAGGGGCCAGGTGAAAGCCCCTAAACCTTGGGCTTCAGCTCTGCCTCTTGCTCTCGGCCCACTGAAGCTACAAGTTTTTTTCACTCAGACAGCTGCTGGCTGCTTAGGCTAACAAGCCCAAGGGTGACAAGTAAAAAGGCACAGTCCCAGTGTTACCAAACCACATGGCAGGCCATTAATTCAAATCCATTGAAAGTCCCAAGGTCAGCAGGGCATGGCAGGCTGCTGAACAAAGACATGGCTACATGCAGGGTTCAAGCATGCCATAAGCTAGAGACCATTCCTTAAGGCTTCTTCTTATATACAGGAAGCAGACCACATTCTTAAGGCAGTTACTCAGTTGCTCACAGTAGATTCCACCATGGATTTAATTGCCAATCTCATCATGGGAAATCCTACATTCAGCTGTCAGCCACTCAACCAGGCCCAGCCAAACTGACACACAAACTTAACTACCACAATTCCACCCCTTGTCCACTTGGCACCTGTACAGATCTCCTTCACTGGATGGCTCTAGTCCCCTAGTTCTTAAGTGGTAACCTCACTCCCTTGGCCTGGTGAGCCCCGTTCCTCTCCCTCTTGGGCATGGCAGCCCTGCCCCCTCACTTTTGGGCAGTAGTAATGGCTCCATCCCACTGGCCCACATTAACGAGCAGCCTCCCACTCCAGAACCACGTGGGTGAAGGTCTAGTCTAGCTCTTTGAAACCTCGGAGGCTGTAGTGGTTCTACCCCCAAAGGCCATGGTGCTACCCTTGAGGCTGAGGCAGCTCTTTCCCATTTCCTTGGTCTCTTCACTTCTGCTGATTAATGCCAAAGGCAACCCACTCTACCAGAAATCTTCCTGCCCCAAAAGCACTCAGCTTTCCTGCTCTGTGGGCCAGCCAATCTGCTACTCTGTTTAATGCCGATCTCTTCTACCAATTAATGCCCAAAGGCAACCCACTCTGCCAGGAAGCCACCTGTGTAATGGCATCCAGATTTCTCCTTTGTGGGCTGGTAAGGCTGTTGCTGTCTTGTGCCTGTTCTCTCGGCTCTGCTCCTGCCGTCTCTTATATAGGTCTCTTGACTCTGCTCTGGCTGTCTCTCATGCTGGTCTCTTGGCTCTGCTCCTTCCATCTCTCATGCTGTATGCTGGTGTCTCGGGTCAAGGATGCACTCCACTCCTGTTTCCACATTTCAGGTTTCTGTCACAGCAGTACCCCACTCCTGCTACCATATACTATTCTGGATATCTGGTGCTGCTCTGGCTAGAATCTACCACAAATGGGATGACCTCAACAAACAGGAGTTTATTCTCTTACAGTTTGGAGGCTTTAAGCTCACGTTCAAAGTTCCAGGCTCTAGGGGCCAGGTGAAAGCCCCTCAACCTTGGGCTTCAGCTCTGCCTCTTGCTCTCAGCCCACTGGGGCTAGAGGCTTTTCTTCCCTCAAGACAGCTGCTGGCTGCTGAGGCTGACAAGCCCAAGGTTGACAAGTAAAAAGGTACAGTCCCGATGTTACCAAACCACATGGCAGGCCATTAATTCAAGTCCACTGAATGTCCTAATGTTGGCAGAGCATGGCAGACTGCTGAATGACGACATGGCTACAGGCTGGGTTCAAGCATGCCATAAGCTAGGGACCATTCTCCAAGACTTCTCCTTACATACAAGAAGCAGACCACATCCCTAAGGCAGCTACTCAGCAGCTCACAGTAGATTCCGCCATGGAGTTGATTACCAGTCTCATCATGGGGAATACTATATCTAGCTGCCCAGCCACTCAACCAGGCCCAGCCAAGTTGACACACAAACTTAACTACCACACTTTGTTCCATGCCTTCTTCTGAAACCAGCTTGAATTTCTGGCAGTTCTCTGTCTATGTACTGCTACAACTGTTTTTGAATTATTTTCAGCACAAGTTTACTTACAAGTGGTATTAATGATATTGTTTGATAATTTCTGCATTCTGTTGGACCATCTTTCTTTGGAATGGGCACAAATATGGATCTCTTTCCACTTTACTGGCCAGGTGGCTCTCCTCCACATTTCCTGGCATAAATGAGTGAGAGCTTCCAATGTTGCATCTGTTTTTTGAAACATCTTAATGGGTATTCTGTCAATTCCTGCAACCTTCCCCCCACCCACCAGCTCTTCCAATGCAGTTTGGACTTCTTCCATCCATATTATTTGTGCTTGATCCTTGACAATTTTTTTTTGGGGGGGTATAGTTACTCTGTACATTCCTCTATTTTCTTTTGATATTTCCCACTTCATTCAATATTTTGCCCATGTTGGTTGTTGTTATGTGCTGTAGAGTTGGACCTGACTCATAGCAATTCCTCCTTGGATTTCCGAGGCTGTATCACTACGGAACCTTCATTCCAAGGAGTGGTTGATGCATTTGAACCACCAGCCTTCTGGTTAGCAGTCAAATGCCTTAAGGCACTAAGCTACCAGAGCTCCTATTTTGCCCATAAAAACCTTTAATATTGCAACTTGAGTCTTGAATTTTTTCTTCAGTTCTTTCAGCTTGGAAAATGCCAAGTGTGTTCTTCCTTTTTGATTTTCTAACTCCAGGTCTTTGCACATTTTATTGAAATACTTTACTTCATCTTTTCAAGCCACCCTTTGAAATCTTCTATTCAGATATTTTACTTCATCATTTCTTCCATTCACTTTAGCTATTAGGAGCTCTGGTAGCATGGTGCCTAAGGCACTTGACTGCTAACCAGAAGGCTGGCAGTTCAAACCCACCAGCCACTCCTTGGAAGGAAGGTTGGGCAATCCTATTTCCGTAGTGATACTGCCTCGGAAACCCAAGGAGGGGTCGCTATGAGTCGGGGCCGACTCGACAGCAAATAACAACAACAACAACAACAACAACATTATCTGTTCAAGAGCAAGTTTCAGGGTCTTATATGGCATCGATTTTGATCTTTTCTTTCTTTTTAATGACCTTTTACTTTCTTCATGTATATTGATCTTGATTTCATGTCACAACTTGTCTGCTGTTCAGTCATTGGTGTTCAATGTGACAAATCTATTCTTTAGTTGGTCTCTAAATTCAGATGGTATATACTCAAGATTGTATTTTGGCTCTCATGGACTTGTTTCAATTTTCTTCACCTTCAATTTAAACTTGCATACAAGCAGTTAATGGTCTGCTCCACAATCACCTGCTGGCCTCATTCTGACTGATTTTATTGAGCTTCTTCACAGTCTCCTTCCACAGACGTAATTGATTTGATTCTTGTGTATTATGTCTGGCAAGATCCACATGTATAGTCACTGTTTATGTTGTTGGAAAAAGGTATTTGCAATGAACACCAAGGTCATGTTTTCCAAATATGATGCTTCTTCTTTGTTTCTAACTTTTGCATTTCAATCACCAGTAATTATCAATGCATCTTGATAGCATGTTTGGTCAATTCCAGACTGCAAAAGTTGGTAAATATATTCAGTCTTCATCTTTGGGTTTTGTGGTTGGTGCATAAATAAAGTTGTATTAACTGGTTTTCCATGTTGTTGTTGTTAGGTGCTATCAAGTTAGCTTTGACTCACAGAAACACTATGCACAACAGAATGAAACACTACCTGGTCTTGTGCAAGCCTTACAATTCTTGCTATTCCTGAGCCCATCATTGCAGCCACTGTGTCAATCTATCTCATTAAGGGCCTTCCCCTTTTTCGCTGACCCTCCACTTTACCAAGCATGATATCCTTCTCCAGGGAATGGTCCCTTCTGACATGACCAAAGTAGGTAAGATGAAGTCTGGTCATTCTTGCTTCCAAGAGCATTCCAGCTGCATTTGTTCCAGGACAGATCTTCCATGTAGGTGTACGGATATTATCATATCACTGAGAACACTGTACTTCAGGATAGATCTTGAAATCTTGAAATATTCCTCCTGACAATAAATGTGATGCCATTCTTCTTCAATCTGTCACTCTTAGAACAGTGGACCATATGATTGCCTTGTTCAAAATGCCAAAACCAGTCAAGTTTAGCTCACTGATGCCTACGAGATTGATCTTCATGCATTTTACTTCATTTTTTGACAACTTCCAGTTTTCCTAGATTCATGTTTCGTGCATTCCACATTCCAAATATTAATGGATTTTGTAGCTGTTTCTTCTCATTTTGAGTCATGCCTTATCAGTAAATGAAGATTCAGAAAGCGTTACTCCATCTATGTCAATAAGTTCACCTATACTTTGAGGAGGAGCTGTTCCCTGTCATGTTTTGAATATCTTCCAACCTGAGGGGCTCATCTTCTGGCACTATATCAGGCAATTTTTCACCACTATTCATAAAGTTTTCAGTGGTTAAATTATTCAGAAGTGTACTGTCTCTTCCTTCTTCCTCATCTGTTGTAGTCTGGAAGCTCTGCTAAAACCTGTCCACCCTAAGTGATCCTGCTGGCATTTGAAATACCAGTGGCATAGCTTCTAGCATCACATCAATATGCAAGCCACCACAGTATGACAAAATGACATACGAGTGGTGGAATTAGAAGATGCAATAAAAGGATGGCCAATGACAGTTACCTTTAAGTAGGGAATACTCTCTGCAATCTTGTTCTGTGCTTTCAGGATAAAGCCATAATGCACTTTAGCAAAGCCATCATTAGGTGTCACAGTCAGAACCTAAATTCAAAGGAAACCAGAAGGTATTGTGATTGACTAAAAATTCTACAAATTACTATTGAAATGAATTTTAATTACCTTTGCCGTACTTGGATTGGATTACGATGTTTCATTTTAAAACACTACTTTTTGTCTTATTGCAATCATATTAGGTTCCCATGACACATTTACCCTCAATTCAAAATGTTCTCACATCTAAACATTTTTTCCTTAAGGACAAATAAATGGGAGGAGTTCTGGTAAGATGGTGGACTAGGCAGAAAGACTGCACAGACCCTCTTCAACAAAGAAAA